CAAATCCGAAAAAAAAGGATTCCAACATTTCGTCCCTCCAGAAAAAGCTTCAAGATTCGGTCTTGTCCAACAAAAAAGAAAGGCCCTCGAACAACGCAAAAGAAAAAGAAAAAAGAAAAGGGAGACCACGAGTAAAGCTACAGGAAAAGAAACAAAAGCAGAAAAGAGAAAGTAAAAGCAAAAGCAAAAGCAGAAAGCAAAAGAGGATAAAAAGAAGCAGACATAATTGCAGTGGTGATAGCATGCAGAAAAGGGAATTAAAGACATGACACATTGAGCAAAGGGTCAGATTTATTTCTAAATGATGTAATTTATTTTTCATATCTTTCGGAGGTATCTGTAAACCCCATCAGAGGGTAATAGTTTTAAAAAAAAAAAAAAAGGCAAAGCCCAAAATAAATGAGCTGGCATGTTGTGGAGGGCGAAGGCCCATAAGCCCAAAATAGCACCAACCAGGTGATCAAAAGTACGCCCAGTACTCCAAAATTATTCGGCAGCCTGCCGCTATTATCACCCACTAGGTGATCAAAAGTACATCCAGTACTCCAAAATTATACATGAGCATCACTCATGTCATTCATACATAAACATTCATGAGCATTACTCATGACAATCATACATAAATATTCATGACCATCATTCATGTCAACATTCATGAGCATCACTCATGTTAACATTTATGGGCATCACTCATGTCAACATCCATGAGCATCACTCATGTCAATCAACATAAACATTCATGAGCATCACTCATGTCAATCTAGCTTCAAAAGCTTCATTTACAAATACTCTAGCTTCAAAAGCTTCAATTACAGAGCTCTAGCTTCAAAAGCTTCATTTACAGAGCTCTAGCTTCAAAAAGCTTCAATTACAGAGCTCTAGCTTCAAAAAGCTTCAATTACAAAGCTCTAGCTTCAAAAGCTTCATTTACAAAAGCTCCAGCTTTGAAAGCTTCATTTACAGAGCTCTAGCTTCAAAGCTTCACTTGCAAAGCTTCACCTACAAAGCTTCAGTGCAGGGTATACAAATACCGCCTCCGAACAACTGCCACTTCGGCCCATACATGGATTCAATTTGAAGTCTCCAGCCAACAGACTCTATTGACCGAAGACTTGGGGGACTACATTATGTACCATATATTGAGCCTCAACTAGGCCTCATGAAAAATACTTGGAGGACTTAGCCCATTATTTATGTATTAAGGAGCGAACCCTTATTTTATAAAAGGGACTCCCTCATTTTCATTTGAGAGCACCAATTATTCATGTACTGAGGAGCGAGCCCTTATTTTATAAAATGGACTCCCTCACCTTCATTAGAGAGCATCATCGCCAGCTGAGCAACCGTCTCGCCGCGAGCATCACTCCTAACCTATTATTCATGTACTGAGGAGCGAGCCCTTATTCTATAAAAGGGACTCCCTCACCATCATTAGAGAGCATCGCCGCCTACTGAGCAACCGCCTCGCCACGAGCATCAACTCTAGCCCATCATTTATGTATTGAGGAGTGAGCCCTTATTCTATAAAATGGACTCTCTCACCTTTAACGCTACAAGCCGAGCCAACCAAGGCAACATAAGCCACAAGCAGAACAGCCTCGCAACATGTGCTACTTCTAGTTGAGCATCATTTCACTTTAAGCACTGCTTCATATCAAGTATCAGTTCAAGACGACATCTAGTTACTTCGACCCACACATGGACTGAATTTCAAGTCTCCAGCCAAAAGATTCTCTTGACTGAAGACTTGAGGGATTACTGTTTGTACCATACTTAGGGCCTCCGTATTTAGATCTCGTATAAATACTCGGGGGACTTAAATGTAATTATGTAATAAAGGAAAGGGCAAATATGTAAAGTGAGGAGCCCTTATTCTATAAAAGGACCCCTCACCCTCATAATTAGGAAGAGCCTCCTCACTTCCAGAGGCCATTTTCTTAGGCCATGGGAAAAGTTCTCTCACTCTCAGAAGCTTTCTCCCTCACTCCCCTCACCTCTCAGAGAAATACAATAATCAATGTGGACGTAGCCCAAACCTTAGGGTGAACCACGATACATTTTGTGTTATTTACTTTCTTGTAGATTCACGATTGGATTTACGTTATTCCAAGACCCCTCCAGTTTTGTGCATCAACACAAGGAATCCTAATGACATTATTATGGGAAGATTCATTAGGGTTAAGTCCATATAAATACAAAGCTAAGGTCCCTGCTCATAACACACAGAAACTCATATGAATGCCCTATTAGTTCGAGTATAAAGGAGTGTTGAGAGTGCAGAAGACTTAGGTCAACTAACATATTATTCCGCATGATTCCAATATGATTTCTGCTCTAGGAGAAGTCCGTTCATGGTTGAGCCTATTTCGCACGGTTCTGTCAAGATGATTCATCTTTACCATCTATGAATTCTTTTAGGTTGGTGTTTTCAGTTGTTTATGAAATATTTAAAGTTTAACATCCTCCTCTACAATTCACGTGGCATCATCTTTATGCTCCACGGCTACGACAACGATATCAACAGGACCTTTCAAGCCACCCCAATCTTTCTCACCCAAAATGACTTTGCCTTATTCGTTCTTGACCTCAAGGCCATGACGGCTTCGGTGGCCTCTGCACCTTTGTACCCGAGGCTGGCTAGTAGTCAGTAATTGTCTCTCATTCTTCAATTTATTCAAATAGCAAGACCTCCAATTTTAGGGACCCCCACAACACTATTGTCAGCCAACAAACCCCTTAGGTAGAGAAGAAGATGTATGCCCTTTGTATATTTGTATTTTTCCTTTTAGATTAGTTAGTTTTATATTTAAATTGGTTTTATTTATTAGATGAACTTTGTTCTTTGTTTTTTTATTCACAAGCTGGAAAGTTGCATCCACGCCACTACAAATGTAAATCTTATATTTGTCACTTCATCACTTAACAATCAATTTAACAGATTATGTAACAGATATGACATTGAGATGAATATATATAAGAGATTGAAATATTTTTAAAATGTTGTATTAGGTTGCAATTGAACACAAACCTGAGGTGCAATATATTGTGGATCTACCGCTTACAGCAATGTCTTGTTATTCACGTTAAAAACGTGATGAATGAATTCAAGGAGATCCATTCTATCTCGTAATGAATACAAAATAACCAAGATAAACTCGAAAAACTGAATACAAACTAACCAAGATATAACACAAAAAACTTACGTGGTTTAGCTATGTGCCTACGTCCACGGGGTAGCAACAAACAATCTTTCACTGTATCAAGAATGAGTACAACGAATAATCTTACCAAGTCTCTACAATTAAAAACTTAATGAAAAACCTGAAAGAACAAGCACAAGAAATACACTCTTATCTCTTTTCTTTTTCTCTTGCACACATTTTGCCATTCTCTCCTTAAGTAGTATAAATAATTCTTTTGCTCCAATTCAAAACTAGTGCAATAGGTCTTTTATATAGACATAATAAAGCCTATAAAGATCTTCTTCAATAAGGAATACTAATCTTGATTGAAATCTAGTTATGACTCATTCTCCAATTATGAAACCAACTCGTGTTGGGAAAGCCACTCCAATTAGGAAAATAATTTAATCCTCTAAGACTATAATTCCTAATAGACTTGGGATAACTCATCATGAGCTGGAAAAACAATTCACTATATTGAAGACACTTTGAAGGAGAAATGGATGACACATTTCCTATTTTGTCCAAGTTAAAGATTACTCATGAAGAAAAATTGTCTTTTTAATCCTCCAATTTTTGTGGGGACTAGTAAGGATATTTGTTATAAGTAACCTTCAGCTTGAATAAAGTACGAAACTTCTAATCCATTTCTTCCTTCAAAAAGCCTTCAATTTAGTGAATAGAGTTATCCAAGTTAGTCCTCCCTATCAAGGAGGCCATTCTGAGCAAACTTTCAGAGATAAGAACTATTCTTTCTGGCTCATAATGACTTGGAGTGGATGCCTTTTTGTGACTTTGATTGGCAACAACTCAGAGAACATCTACTGAATATGGTATTTGTTTTTGGGAAATTCATTGAGGTTTTGGAGGGCGAAGAGACAAAATACAATCTCTATTATTTAGCAAGAGTTGAATATGGAGTCGTGGCGAGCACTTGTTGTGAGCTTTACAAGCCCTGATTATCTACAGTTAGGAACTGCACATTACATTATGACCATCAAGTCGTATTAAATGTAGGTGCTCATTCGATTTTTCATAAAAGAACAAAGCATATTGAGATGAATTGTCACTTTTATCATAGACGAGATTCAATATCATTTCTCTATTTGTATTTGTATATAGTTGTATTGGTTTAAACAATGTGAGAATCTGTGAAACCTCTTACTAGCTAGCACCACCTTCACCGTCGACCATGGCTCCATCGACTAGTCATACATACATTTTGGGCATCTGTGTTTTTCGTTTTGCACGCTAAATCTCTCCCTATGATTTGGGGGTGCACCCCCATTCTATGACACGGATCAAGATCCTTTCCTAAGCAAATGGAGAGTATCCTCCTGACCAGGCCCATCGGGCTGTTCAAAATTTATCCAATGGCTACAAACATGGAGCTCCACTAAAAGTTATAATAATTGTAACCGGTAGATAAAATTTGAACGGCCCAATGGACCCGGTCAAGAGGATCCTCTCCATTTGCTCAGGAGAGGATCCTGATCCCTATGACACACCCACCCATCCCTTGGATTCTCTCTGTTTTTCTCGGACAAGGATTGTTTGCCATCCCACTTCTAGTGCCCTCGCATGCCCTCCTGTTTTATGTGGTCACGGTTAAGCTACGTCAACATTTTATATTATTTTTTATAGAGATAATAAGACAAAAATAAATAGTAATATAAAATATTGATGTGACTTAATCGTAACCACACAAATAAAAAAACATTGAAAATGAAAGGGCAGACAATCCTTGTTCCTTGTTCGTTTTTCTCTCCCACTCGTACCCTCCAAACAAAAGGCCACTCTTACTACCTACCTCGGGAATCCAATTCCACAGCAAACCCAGGAAAAGATGGGCTTTCCTTCTTTCCCCTGCTCCTTTCTCCGGGGCCTCAGTCCTCAGAGGCAGGGGCGGTGGTAGTGATAGCAAAAGGTCAAAAAGTCCCTAGCAGAGAAGAATACGTCTCCATGCACCCAAAATGTTGACAGCTGATAAAGCTCTGCATGCAAACGCCAGGACAAGTGTCTCTCTGCAAAACCAAACAGTCTTAGGTGTGCGTCTTTTGGATTCACCATCTTTATGTTTGGCCAAATAATCAGAAGAAGAAAACCAAATTTTCTTTTGGGTTGTTTGTTTCTGGTGCGTGCGCCCAACGGCAGACTGCAACCATATCTCCGTCTCCCACCACGTGGTTTTACCTTTTTCACAGCGGCAAGTGAACCCATAACTTTTTTCTGCTCTATAATCCACCCCAAAGCTTCAATCTTTGCCTCAATCTCTCAATTTTCTTTGATGGGTTGCTCTTGTTCCTGCTGATTTTGGTGAAAAAAACCAACTTTCTGGGCCCGCCATGGCTTCGAGATCGATTCTCCGGTTTCGAAAACTCTGCTACGTTGAGCCTGTGAGCTCCCCTTCTGTAAAGTTTCGATCTTTTCAGACCTCAGAAGTTGAAGGGACAGATGAGAGTTCCGTGGAGAAGAAGCAATGGAAGAGGAAGAAGCAGCAGAGGGGGTGGAGGTGCATAGATAGCTGCTGTTGGGTCATTGGGTACATGTGCACTGCTTGGTGGGTTCTTTTGTTATTGTACCACAGCTTGCCGGTCACTTTGACCGGCTTTCAGGTGCCGGAATCTCCAGGGACAAGGCTTAAAGGTGAAGGCCTGACTGCCCTTCACCCTGTTGTTCTTGTCCCCGGCATTGTGACCGGTGGCCTCGAGCTCTGGGAAGGCAGGCCTTGTGCCGAGGGGCTTTTTCGAAAGCGGCTTTGGGGTGGTGGTTTCACCGAAATCTTCAAAAGGTTTGGTTGGTTTGATAATTGTGTTATATTTAAATATCTATGATGGTTTGATGTTGATTGACTGAATTTGGGTGTGATTTTTGTTTGCAAGTTAGGCCTTTGTGTTGGTTAGAGCATCTGTCTCTGCACAATGAAACGGGGCTCGATCCTCCGGGAATTCGAGTCAGGGCAGTTCCGGGACTTGTTGCAGCTGACTATTTTGCTCCTGGATATTTTGTTTGGGCTGTTTTGATCGAAAACTTGGCGAAAATTGGTTACGAAGGGAAGAATATGCATATGTCTGCGTATGATTGGCGGCTATCTTTCCAAAATACAGAGGTAAAGTTGTTTTCCCGCATCTTTTATCATCCTCATTTGCTACATATAGCGTTAAAATCGAATTAGTTAGATAGCACTTGTGGCTAAAATTCGGACTTGAATTTGCACAAAGCTTGTTTTCAATCATTATATCAGTAATACCAGTGGCTTATTTTCTTTCAGAACTCCAAAATCATCTGTTTATTGAATGCATGGTTGTTGCGTTGTTGTTCCATTTGTCATTTTACTAATTCAATGTCGTTAAATGTTCTGTTTCAAAACACTACATGAAGCACAATTGATCATTTCATTATCTTTTATCCAAATATGTCTTCATATTTTTCACTCTGCATATGCTCCTTTGTAGCGAAGCATAAGCATTAGAAAGTCCAAATATGTCTCCCTTGTAAAAAAGCACAAGTATTAGAAAGTCCAAATATGCCTTTATATTTTTCCTCTCTGCATATGCTTCCTTGTAGCGAAGCATGAGTACTAAAACAAAAGGCTGAATATCTAAGCTGAGTCCACTGATATCTATTTTCTAATTGGGAAAAAGCAGATTCGGGACCAAGCTCTTAGTAGATTGAAGAGTAAAATTGAGCTTATGTACGTAACGAATGGATATAAGAAAGTGGTTGTGGTGCCTCATTCTATGGGTGCAATTTATTTCTCCACTTCATGAAATGGGTTGAATCACCTCCTCCTATAGGTGGTGGTGGTGGTCCAAGCTGGTGTGCCAAGCACATTAAAGCAATCATGAATATCGGTCCAGCATTTCTTGGTGTTCCAAAAGCTGTTAGTAATATATTTTCTGCTGAGGGTAAAGATGTCGCGTACATCAGGTTTGTCTTTGCAGTCTATCCCTCATGTGAATTGGCATTCGGATTCTTAAAATTGTATTACACAGTAAAAGAAACTAGAATTTATTATGTTGAAATTGTTTCTGTAATATGTGATGTGTTCAAATTCTTAAAGATTTTCAATGCCCTATGATAACATGACCACTGAATAATGGAATTGAATATTGTCCTTTGAAGAGCTATGGCTCCGGGTGTTTTAGATTCTGAATTTCTTGGGCTTCAAACCTTTGAGCACGTCATGCGGGCAAGTCGAACCTGGGATTCCATAGTTTCCATATTGCCAAAAGGTGGAGATGCCATCTGGGGCAATTTGGATTGGTCTCCTGAAGATGGGCAGAGCTGTTACCAGGCAAGGAAAGGATATCTACAGTCCACTACTGGTGACAACAATTTCAGCCGCAACGATGGAAATAGTGTTTTCCAAGTAAAAGAACCTGTGAAATATGGAAGAATAATCTCTTTTGGCAAGGAATCTTCACAATTATCTTCTTCACAGCTTCCTAGGCTTGATTTGAAGGTACTCTCTTAACTATCTGTTGTTCTATTTTTTACATGACTGAGTCTTGTGGTTGTGTCTAGAAACAACCTCTTACACAAATCATTCTCTAGGTAGTGAATACTCGTAGATCCTTCGTTTGCGTGTTGTCTTATCATAATCACATTTATACCTCTATCTTGGTAGATATTGTTAACCATATGATGTTACCTTTTTGCTAAGAAAAAAAAGGGGTTTACATTTGATTACATAGCTTCACACAAGATAAAACATCTTGTGCGTTTACTTTCAAGAACACTCTTTTCAGCTTTGTCTATATATCATTTCCTAACGAAAGACAGAATGTGTTTCATAACAGAACTTGATAGGGTTAGCATGCTTGCACATATATGGCTTCAAACACGTGTAGATGCATGCCAGGACGAATTCCCCTTTGAACTCAATCAACTTAAAAGCAATTCTTTTTCATATTACCTTAACTGAATGTCAGTGCTTTCTGGTCTGTCATTTCAATGCAGATATATTAGTTGGATGGTCTTCCTCAAATAAGGATGGTTCTAATAAATTGTTTGACAGGATCTAATACACAAAGATTTGGCCACAAATTCCAAGTCATCGTGTGGAGCGGTGTGGACTGAATATGATGAGGTAAGCAGTGAAAGCATCAGAAGAATTACAGAAAATAAGGCTTACACAGCTCAAACACTTTTTGATCTACTACGTTTTGTGGCTCCAAAATTGATGCGACGGGCTGAGGCTCACTTCTCTCATGGGATAGCTGATAACCTTGATGATCCTAAATACGCCCATTACAAGTACTGGTCCAATCCACTAGAGACCAAGTAAGCATAAACATTCTTCAGCACTTTCTGATAGAATTTTGGTTAAAAATTGAGCAGCAGGGCTCTTTTCTTTACTCTCAATTTCTAAAACTATTCATACTAATTTCTGAATGTCAACAAATCGATCCCTTCTTTTTCTCTTACAAACATCACATTTCTGCTGCCAAATGATGTTATGGTCCAGTCTCCAGTTTGTTATCAACATTTTGGTTGAAGTGAATCACAAGTGCTAAGAAATACTGCATTGAACTTATTTCAAAGAGTATGCATAGTTATCGAAACTAAAACATAAATTTTGGAATTGTACACTTATTTTCCTTGTCTCTTTCTCTCTGTAGCTTTCGTTTGCTTATTTTGGGTGCCACTAACCTTAGTGGCATTAATGATTAATTTGATTGCCCTTTCTATTTTAGGTTACCGGTTGCTCCAAACATGGAAATATACTGTTTATATGGCGTTGGAATCCCCACTGAAAGATCATATGTATACAAGATGTCTCCTTCTAACAAGTGCAAAAGCATTCCATTCCGGATTGATGGTTCAGCAGATGGAGAGGCAGGAAGTTGTCTGAAAAATGGAATACATTTTGTGGATGGTGACGATAGTGTGCCTGTATTGAGTGCAGGTTTCATGTGTGCCAAAGGATGGAGAGGAAGAACGAGATTCAACCCATCTGGTATTGCTACTTACATAAGGGAGTACCGGCACAAGCCACCGGCTAGTTTCCTTGAGGGGAGGGGTATAGAGAGTGGTGCACATGTTGACATCATGGGAAACGTTGCATTAATTGAAGATGTTCTCAGGGTTGCTGCCGGAGCAAATGGTGCACAGACCGGAGGTGATAGGATTTACTCAGATATCATGAGAATATCTGAGAGAATAAATCTACAGATGTAACATGTAAGTACACTTGGAAAGATGACCACCCTTGCGATTAAGAAATCAGAGACACAAGGCATCCGGGAGATGAGAACTAACAATGGAGAAACAGTTGCTGCTTTGAGGCTCATGAACAACTACCTTATCTGCAGCACCCGTAATACTTAGCACTTCAGAGCAAGGCTTTGGTTTGTGGGGAAAGAGGAGAAACCACTTATGGTAAATGGTATACGTGCTTGTCATTTAGGAGCTATAATTGTAGTGATCCGGTAGTCAAATCGTAATAAGAGCACAAGAGCTCATTTGTAGTCAATTTTGGGTGGCTGAAATGTAGTTTATATTTGCAACAGACTTGTAGCTCAAGTAATCAAAAGCGATTATCCTCGCACCAGATGTTAACTTACTTGATAGGATTTTTACCACCTGCAAAAGTAGGGATAAAAACATTTAAAAACATTTGCAAAAGTACAAGGTTATCATAGTAGGTAACAGGTTATTTGCAGGTAGGGTGGACGTCGGGAGACCGACTCATTGCTGAAGAAGTGTTCTCCGAGCTCAAGAGGAACCGTTCGTGCATGGAAAGACGTCAGATGAGCATAACGGTTGGCTTTTAGATAATGGTAACGAGAAAAAAGGCCTACAAGAATGGCTATGATTTTGTTTCGTGATTTGTAGGATGTGAGATAAAAGGCCTACAATATAACTTTGCTGATGATTAAATATGATATCAATTTTGAACTTATACTCTTTTCGAGCTTAATCCGTAGTCACAATCTCAAATCAATTGTATGTATGGATCTTCGTTTACAATTATAATTTTTTTTTCCATGTGTGACCAAACAAATATATGTACGAGTTGCTGATTTGGGCTCATCCAAGTTCGTTAGAGCAATACTTTGTATCCGGTCTCTAGTTACTAGTATTGTTTAACTAAAATCTTGTTGGTTTTTGGTTTTTTTTAATCATAATCTCTAGTTTGTACTTTGTACACGTTAGCATTTTACTACTATCATATTTCCACGTCAGCTTTATTTTTGTTTTAATTTTACTAAAATATTTAATTCTTGTATTTTATCCATCAGTTAGAAACTTTGAAGAGTATTCATAACTGAAGATTCACAATAATCTCATTCAATTGGTATTCTTTAGTTTTTGGATTTTGATTTTTGTATTCAAATTCATCATTATTATCTTAGATGAATCTTCAATTCAAATTTTGCCAAGATTTGATCCGAAACTATATTTTATCCACGAGCATTCAAACGAGTGCAGTTTTTTACAGAGAAATTTGAAGAATCAACGACCATTCCAAGCTAAAATTCGATGTCTTTTTTTCGATTCTTGAATTTGTACCCATAGTTTGATTACATTGATATGTCCCTATAGTTCTATTCTTGATGTTATAATCTTTGTATTCATATTGATGGGAAGTGTCGTATGGTGTTTCGTTTCCACATTTGGTTTTACATGTGCTAAATGAATCCTTTTTGGAGATTTTTGGCATGCATTGGGGAGCATAAATGATTTCAGCATGTATCTTGTTAGTTTTCTAAAATTTGTTAATGGTAGTCATCGGTGTTAAGTGTGTGGCCTATGAATGATGTAGTTTGCATTCATACAGACTGAAAGTCTAATTGGCACATGTTTTGGGTCATTTGTGCTGCTGTGGGCCTAATTTGTTACTTTGGTACCAGTTTGTTCCCTTGCTAATTTGTCACATGGACACATGTGAAAGTTAGACACAAGATTTGTGACGAAGATTTTTGCATGAATTTAAATGTGTGTATAGTGGATAGGGACAGAAAAATATGAGGTATCATTCGAGCCATCTTCATTTTGCTAAGGTGTAACCCGAAAATGGAAGGATTTATTTCAGACGAGCATGACAGAGATGAGAAAAACCCCACCAAATGTAATAAATATCCGCAGGAAATGAAAGGTTTTGGTCAAACTCTAATTTGCAATGAGATTCAGGATTTCTTTTTTCTCAAGAATACGGCCCGTGTGTACGTTAATCAACCTCTCAATATAAAAAATTTGTTAACACGACGCGTCACTAACAACCTTGAGAATATTTCTTATTACATACAGCTGTAACTCTTTTCCAAACAATGCTATCATTCTTCACATATACAAATATGAACCTCATTTTAACCGCCTACATACTAAGCTTATCTCTGAATTCTTCCACTTCGTTGCAAATAAAAAATCGTATATTTTAATTTTATGCACAGTTTGACATTCATATTTCTATTTAACATTTATTAAATCTAATGGATTATCAAGCCAACCCAATCCTAGACATCAAACGAGACTCTTTTAACTTCGTTCGGAGTTTTTACCATTAGATCAGGATAGTTTTGGCCAGATCAGTAATACCCAATCTCCATGCATGCAACTCTAGTTAATATAGATTTCAGTAGCGTCTAAAAGGAATAAAAGGGGAAGTAATTCCAAAACTAACTGAGGAACTATATCCTATTTCGGAATCCTCGAGTATCAAAGAATCAAATTTCAAATCACCAGTGATGCCATCCATGGAAATTAAAATATACGATTTTCACACTCATAAATATTGACCGGTGATATCCATTAACAAACACATGAAAAAAGTATGGAAGATTTTCTATGATGCTTCGGAGTATTTAATATTAATTTTGGACTATTTTATCATTAAATTTTTTTTTTATCAAAAATATAAATATTTTTGCAAGCATAAAAAGTCTCCAACATGGTTGATACTAGAAATTTAGCCCGCGCGATGCCGCGGGAATGTCAACTTGATGATAAGCGTATGTGTTACAATGAGGAACTAAATGTGTTGTAACCGTTGTGTAAATATGTAAAAAGTATTTATACAAAATATGTACAAAGTATTTATAAAATGTATATAATAGTTATTGACAACTCTACATATATATAAATAGTTGTTCAAAATCTAGCTGTTCCTATTTCATCAATGTACAAATTGATGTTAACACGAAACTTGTAAGAAAAAAAAAATGGAGGGAGGGAAAGAGGAAGAGGGAGCTTTACAGGTGTGCAAACCTGTTGTAAGCTTGGTGTGGCTCGTTGAAGTCGTGTAGATAGCTGCAAGCCTGCAATACTTCAGCAAATAAATTGATAATGCTTGTGCTCTGCTTTGTTCTGTTCTTCCCCAGGTTGATCCTACAAACAAAGGTAGAGACCAAACTTAAAAACCGATGCCAATCAATGAAAGCTAAATAATCCACATGCTGAATCTTTTATAAAACAAAGCACCAAGAAAATTTGAACAATAAATATTTTTTTCATACAAAAACACGAAACAATGAAATAAATTTCAACATTAGGCTTATTTCAGACATTTAACATCTTACTTGTCATTAGACAATTACAAAACCTTACTTTCCATGAGCTTGTAACTTACAAATTCCAAACTTAATGTATCATTTGTGTGTCCTCAGCTTTCATTGCGTAATCACGTTTACGATTGAAACATTAACCAAATGCAAAAAAACAAAAAATGTGACTCTCTATGGCTTTCTTATAACAGAAAAATATCCCTAATTTGAGCATGCCACACACCAACACATTGCTATTATATTAAGTATTTTTCTCAATGGCAAGTATTATACTCTTCTTTGGCCAAGAGGATATGAAATTGGTTGAGTATACTATTCTAGCCAATTGGATCAATAAGCTAAAGTTTGCACTGTACAAAGCCATAAGTACTCAAGACATGAAGGCTTTAGAACACAAATATACCTGAGGTGCCAAAATATGATGCTGAGGAAGTGTTTTCTTCTTATTTTGAGGGAAGAAGAACGCAACTCTGAATTTGGACCCTTTTTCTTAACCCATGGTTCCTATAACCCATAAATAATTTTAGTGTCATTCAAAATAACAAATACGCTAGATGAATTGAAAAACTGCAGAGATTAGTTTCATAAATATATAATGGAGCCGAAAGCCATAGTTAATCTAAACAGAGGGTTTATTTAATCTAAAAAGAGGTAAAGACATACATACCAATCATCTGAATGTTCTCCGCACGATGTTCTGCTTCAAGAATGTACAACTCCCACCCAAAGCACATGTCACCATGCTCTTCCCTGAACAAACAAAATAAATTATATGCATGTAATGAGCAACTTTTTTCCGGCATATAGTCTAAGTTCATAATTAATCTTTAGTGTCATTCAATAATATACTACCACGATGTTGACACATGTATGATTCTAAATTACATCTGTTCTTATAAAAAAAAAGTTTATATACATAAATTTCAATATGTTGGCTTACAATTTTTAAACGTATTAGTGGGGATAAGATTAGGGATACGCTTTAGACATCAACCCCTTATGGATAGCCCTTCTTAATCCTTCAAGTGTAGTCTAGTCCTTCATATTAAGCATGGGCTAAATGTTGTAACAATCCAAGATAACTTGTATGGAAATGAACTGACAATGAAGGTGGTTTTTGTCTTTTGGGTGATCTCATGATGGAAACATATACTGGAGCATAGGTAATTTGTACACGCTCGTTGTTGCGGGATTGAAAACTATATGAAAGATTATGCAATTTCAATTTTCATAAATAATGTTTGAACGAAAAACTGAGTTACCAATGTGAATGAAAATTATACACGATTTTATCATGAATGAAACAAATTTAAATATCAAAAGAGAAACCTATTTTGTCTATTAAAAATATTACGAAGTTCTTTGGATACGAAAAAACACATTGTTTTTTGTCCAAGAACATTAACGGGAAATGTTGTTTAGTGCAATACTAAAAGTTGTTCTCTGCTATGTTGGTCATTAAGGAAGCATCTCTGGCGAGGAAAAAAAATTGAAATAAATTTATGGGTAAATTACATAATAATCCCTCAAGTTTAAGGTCTATTACAAGCTCATACAACATCTTTAAAACATTTCACTTTCATACCTCACGTACTATTTTATTTCAAAATAATACATCCGTTACATTTTCCATCAATTGATCCGTTAAGTGTTGACGTGGCTGCCAAATGTGTGCCACGTGGATTTTTTTTTTAATTTTTTTTATAAAAAACCTAAATCTTTTAAATTTAAAAAATAAATAAAAATAAAAGGCTTAAAACTTATCCCCTCTTCCTCCTCTCTTCTCCCCACAACCCCCAAACCTAGAAACTTTATCCCCCCTCCTCCTCCTGTCTTCTCCCCCATCTTCATGTTCTTCCCCTGCAACCCATAAAAAAAATTAAAAAAAAAAAACCCTTCAATTCGTCTTTCCCCCTCCTCTTCCCCTCTCTTCTCCCCATCTTCATCTTCTTCCCCTGACCCCCCTACCTGCAACCCAGAAAAAAAAAAAAAAAAAAAACTCAAATCCCATTTACACTGCCATCGCTGGGTTCGTGAGGTGGGAGGAATGGTTGTGGATTTAAGGAGTGGGGGGTGTGTAGAGGAGGGAAGAGGGTGGGTGCAGAGGAAGGGATGTGGGTTTCTGGGTTCGGGGGTCGGGGGGGGGGGGGGGGGGGGGGGTGGTTTCTTTCTGGGTTTCTGGTTTGGGGGGTTCACGGGGGTGGGGGTTTTCTTTAAGCTTTTGAAATAAAATAGTCCGGATCGGCATCGTAGAGGCGGATGTGGTCGATCTGTTGGAGTTGCAGAAACGAAACGAGGTTCGACGGAGACAGAAGATTTGAAACGTCGGTGCCAATGTTCACTCCGACGAATGGCTCTTTTTCTTGGTCCTGATTTTGCAGCTTGGTGGTTTTGAATGTTGGTGGAGAAGATGCGGCTGAAAGTGAAGAAAACCCAGCAAGAAAAATGTGAGAATTGGCCGAGAAAGTTGCTTGCTTTCATTAAATTTTGGAAGTACTGCTGGGTTTAAACTTCAAGATGAAGAAAACCCAGCAAGCAAAATGGTAAAATTGGTGAGAGAAGTTGCCTCCTTCCTTGATTTTTGGAAACTGTTGGGTTTAAACTTTGAAATGAAGAAAACCCAGCAAGCAAAATGGTGAAATTGGTGAAAAAAGTTTCTTGCTTTCTAGATTTCTTTTGAAATAACGGAGAAAACCCAGCAAGAAAATGTTAGAATTGGAAGAAAAAGTTGCTTGGTTTCTATGATTTTTGAATTATTTTGGGTTTAAACTTTACAGTGAAGAAAACCCAGCAAGAAAATATTAGGATTGGGTGAAGAAAGTTACTTACCTTCAGCAAGAAAATATTAGGATTGGGTGAAGAAAGTTACTTACCTTTGGATGCAAAGACGAAGAAGAAGAGGAAGGTTGAGAGTGAGAGAAACTTAGTGACCGCCATTGGAGATAAGTTTGAGCTTTGCTGCTTCCTCATCCTCTGCTTTTTTTTTTTTTTAATAATAGGGTTAATATTATAATATTGTTAATGTATAAAAAATTATTATTTTTGCCACGTGGCTGCCATATCAGCACAAATGTGGCAGCCACGTCAGTATTTAACAGACCATTGGATGGAAAATCTAACGGAGGTGTTATTTTGAAATAAAATAGTACATAAGGTATGAAAGTGAAATGTTTTAAAGATGTTGTATGAGGTTGTAATTAGACCTCAAACTTGATGGATTTCTATGTAATTTACCCTAATTTATAGACAGTAGAATTATATCATGAACAAAATAAGGGTAATGCATGTCTACCTACTGTTTTTGTGTGTAGAAAGAAGTCTGATTTTGCATGAAATGGAGATGACCACCTCTGGTAATTCTATAGGATGCAATCAAACTTTTGTGCATTTCCAACTTGCCTTAGAACCAAGTTTCTACAAAAACAGATCGAATTCAAGAAAGTAATTAGATCAAGGCATAAGAGATTATAAGAAAAAGTATAGAAAATATAAACCACATATACCAGTCATTATAGTACTTTTTATTGTGAATACACCTAAAAATATATCATTTTTGCAGTGAATGGTTGGTTCAAATTAATTCGATTTTAGTTTCTTTCAAACCCTTCAACTTATCCTTAATTTTTTTTAACGGCATCATAATTAAGAGTTAGCTAATAATACATTTATAAATCTGTTAAGTTTTAGTTGACCCTCGACATGTGTTTCGAAAAGGGCTCTTCTAACATGATGAAATCATGTCAAGAGTTAAAAAGGGGCAAGAAAAAACTAATGTAAGAGCTCTGGAAAATTGAGGCAGAGCATGTTAAGGGAACCATATGAAAAATGATATTCTAAGAAGCTAAATGCTTGAAGAACCTAAGAAAGAAGATAATATATAACAACATGCTGAATCAACTGAAAAGGTCACATGGATAGGCACAAACATGTAAAAATGATAGTCTATTGTAATCCATAGTTGGTAATAGAAATATATTCTCGTGTTACTTAAGCAACAAAAAGCACAAACTCATTAAATCATAACAAAAAGCACTAATATACACAAAAGTGGGAAAAAATTATACCTTTTTATTGACCAAAAAGGTTCATTTCACAGTATCGAGCTTGCAGAAAAGTTGGAACTGCATGAGTACAGGCTACAGGGGAGAAAACTGGGGAAAACAAAAGCACAAAGGAATGTGAAGCATGTAAAAATGATAGTCGATTGTAATCCATGGTAATAGAAACATATTCTCATGTTACTTAAGCACCAAAAACCACGAACTCATTAAATCATAACAAAAAGCACTAATATACACAAAAGTGGGAAAAAAATTATACCTTTTTATTGACCAGAAAGGTTCATTTCACAGTATCAAGCTTGTAGAAAAGTTGGAACTGCATTAAGTACAGGCTACATGGGAGAAAATTGGGGAAAACAAAAGCACAAAGGAATGTGAATATATGAGTGAACTTAATTAAAAATTTAGAATTTAACTAATACATAGAATCACAAATCTCAATCATGAAAGTTCCACAATCTCCTTTTCTTTCACAATCTTACTCAGATACCCAAAACAATCTAATACTAAAATTAGTTAAAAAATACATTCAACTAATTGAAATATTATATAATAGTGAAGTTCACAGACTAATTGGAACACATCTTTGCAAATCATTAAGATTATGGAAACCTAATTGTTGGTACGTTATTAAAAAATATGCATAGAGTGCTGGAACACACAAAAGTAGTCACTTGCAAAAAATACTCAAATTTTATCAAAATCTTGCTTCAACTACAAAGGATCCATACAATATAGACCACACTCAACCAACCCCCAATAAAATTTCATTGGATGAGTGTGGTCTATATTTGAATTCTGTTTGATTGGCGAACACCCATACATGAAACCTGGTTCTTTTCCTAGATGACTAAACCACACACGGAACAGAATCGAAATCTAATACCCAAAAACTGACGACAACAACAAAAGTCCAAAATTTTGAAAACACATCTCTCAATAAGAAACCCACTGGTAAAATCTAAAAGCAAACAAAATAAAACCAAAAACCTACAGTAAAAAAAACCAAAACAACTCACCAGAGAAATTACATTCACCAATCTGAAAATCCGTACAACCCAACCCACCAAGCTAAATAACCTTGACCGGCCGATGAATTTTACCCTTGCAAAATGACTCCACACCTGCGAACACAAAGATTAACAAAAGAAAAGCCACCAAGGGTTAAAAAATGGCAGAACACGATAGTGAAGAACAGTCCAAACAACGTGAAAGCAGAGGAGAAGAGACGCATGGAGCGCGAGGACAAAAACGCTGAGGAAGGCTATTGAAAAATGGAGCACTGAGGAACCTTTGAGAAAGAGGGAAAGAAAAAGAGCCGTCTTCTGCTTTTGCATCCTGCTTCCCATTACGCGATGATCAACACGTGTACAACACGGGTAAAATTGTCATTTCATTGTGCAATACAGAAAATTAAAGTTGAGAACCAGCAGCAGCGAAGGGCTTTACCGTCTTTTCATTGTTCACGAACAATGAAAAACAGTGCCACCCGAGTTTGGGTTTTAGTATATGTATAATGTCACTGCTCTTATTGAAATTCTTGTATTAATTGTAAATATTCTTGATTGATGTTGTGATTATTTTTCTCGTATAAGACCTTGATTGTAGGACTTGATTATAGGATCTTGTATCTTGTTGTAATTCGTAAAACTTACCTTGTAAAGGCTGCTGCTAGTTTGTATATTATAGGTTTGTGGCACTTGAGCAATATTTCAATGTGTCTGGAATATAAAGTGATACATCATGTGTCACTATACCCGTACTGCAGGCACAATGAAAATAAAATTTTCCGCTACTTATTTAATAAGACGTGATGTACCCCCTCGTATTTTGAGCAAAATGAAAATTTTCTCTTACTTTCATAGTTGGATTATCAATTCGGAGATAATCTCCATTCACATGCATACCTTTTGCCATATTTTCTTGCATTGACTGATGAGTGGTGGTCATTTAAAAAACTGTTTTGAAAGACCAAAACAATAAATATAATTTTTTGAGACATATTTACACTAACGGGAATAAATGATGGTGCGGCAATGTTGATTGCGATATCGCTGTGATGACCATGGTACCATACACGATTCCCCCCCCCCCTTGAAACTCCAACTTCAGTTTGTGTGTATAATGTTTTCGATTTTTGGATTCTATATATATATTTCTTTTTTTTTGGATTATATTATTAAAAAACATAGGAAGCACAATTTGGCGTTCTAGAAAATATAGTTAGGGACAGGGTAGTTGGGATATTTATTTAGATTCCTTGTCATTTCATGGTACGTATGCATGATAATATTATTATACGTATACATGATTGTATTATTCTAGGTATGATTCTTTTATTATTTTCCGTGAGGACCGTGGACTAGCTCTACTCACAAGTCACAAGAGAAGTTGATGCGAAACAACATTTGGTGTTAAAATATGCATATTTGCAACCCAACAAAACTGCGAAAGGTAGAAGAAATAAAAGCAGGGTTGGTGCACGAGGAGTTCCAAGATCTAGTCTCTATCGAGAGATTTTTCAGTGTGACCGTCATACAAGGCAGTACACCACGTGTCTCTATGTAAATGGTTGGATATGTGTGTTAAAATGTTAATAGCTTAAAAATTCAAATTTTCCACCATTTACATAAAAACACTTGATGTATCATCCGTGTTCCCATCATAATTAAAAAATTTCCGTCCCCATCGGTGCCACTAATCGACCTCATTGAATAATGAATTGATAATTTCGGTTGGCCAAAAGTCGGTGTATTGACTCTATCGATTTCAGTGGCGAAACTGAATAGTCTTTCTATTTAAACACAAAACCGAGTCTAAGTTCACCCACCAATAACCAATTTAATTTATTTTTTTTATATTTTATTACATGAAAATATAAAAGAATGCATATTACTTAAACTTTATGATAATATTTTGGGAAAAAGAAATTTATGATAATATTTTTTGAACAACACCCACACAACACAAACCCTAATTTTCCGTAGAATAAAAAAAACTTGTCACTCAGTATTACAGTTTGGTTATATTCTTCTTCGTTTAAAAGTGAGGGATCATAGATTCAAATTTCGTGGATGGCGAATTCGATACTAAATTAGGTTGCCCATTGTGTGGCTTAGCCAAACTCCTCATTCTCTTAATGCAAAAATATCGATGTACCCAAAAAAAAAAAAAAAACCTTATTTCTCCCCCCCCCTAGTAATAGAACAAGAAATGAAACCTTTAAACCCATAATTTCCTTTTTAACACTACCATTCTCTTTATACACCTACCTCTCTTTCTTTCTTTTTTTTAGTGAAGTTCATATCCAATCTTGCACTAGCATTCTCTTTACACACCTATTTTTTTAGTGAAGTTCATATTCAGCCTGGAATTTACATTTTTGTCCGTAAACTCACACTCATTTTCTTTTGACACCCAACCAAACGGAAGTAAATGAATACACACTCGCACACACACATATGTGTTAAGATCGGGGGATACTCATTTGTAGATGCACATTTTGACACCCATATTATATGGTACATTCCGTAACTCTTTTCAAAGATCTGAATGTCTATATTTCAATTCATCATTCATAGATCATTCTTGCAAAATATTAGACAAATCCAAAACTAACACGTTCATTTGTAGTAAAGAAAATAGACAAATACGGTTATGCAAAGAAACAATCAAATGACTATCACTTAATCCAATAGTCATAAAGTTTCGGATTTGGGTATTTTTGGTATTCCTGATCTTTGAGAGAAAATCTAAAAGAAAAACGGTTGGATCATCGAAATATATTACGAAGTGAGCTTTACAAAATGTCGGTATAAAAATGAGTGTCCTTAGTTGCACCAAAGCAAAGCCATTCTAATTACTTGACATAGCATACTAGGGCTGGGCAATTAAAAAATAACAACTGACTAAACTGACCAAACCGCATCGACGGTTTGGTTTGGTTTTTTATTTTTTGTTTTGGATGAGTAAATCGAACCGCACCGACTAGAGTAGGTTTGAAGAGCGGTTCCTATAATTCTTGGACATTGATTAACTGAACCGACCCGTGCATTTGCTTTTATTTGATTTAATTAGAAAAAATACCTTAGTGGTGATAGTGGTGTTTTGTATGTATGTCTAAGATGACTTTTATGTTGCCTAGTTTGCACATTTTCTTTACTTTTCTTGACTTTTTTGTTGTTTGTTCTTGTGGCCCCGTTTTGGTTTTGGCTGTTTGTTCTTATGGCCTTTTTTTTGTCCCTCTCTTTTCTCTCACTTTCAGATTTAGTTCTCAAACCTAACGTAGTAGCCTCCCAGCTGTGTCCTCCATTCTTCCTTCCTCCACCACCATCGTGAATCTCTCCAGATGATAGCTCTCTCCCACTTCGTCGTCATCCACAAACCGAAAACCAACCCAAACAAACCGCCATTGTCGATTAACCGACATGATCGATTTTAGACCCTGCTTAATCGGTTTCGGTTTGCAATTTTGGCTCAACCAACTAGGTCGGTTTAGTTTCAATTTTGGCCCAAAACTGACCCAACACAACCCGCGCCCACCCCTATAGCATACACAATATAGCTTGACATTTCATCTTTTACTCAGTGCAAACAGATAGACTTTTAGTTGAATATCAACTCAACACATAACAAACAGACGAACAAATAGATTACAAATTACGAATATTATTTGACCAACGGAAAAACAAAGAAACATGATTGCCGAGATAACTACACTTAGATACTACATTATAACATACTTTTTTTTTTCAAGTGAATAACAAACATCCTATTTATAATAAACCCTAATTCCTAAACAAAAACCTCATCCTAACGAGCTAAGCCTAAAACCCAAACAATAAACTAATCCTAAATATTAATATTTTCCAACACTCTCTCCATGATAAAATGTAGAAACTCAACCGTACGTTTTGTACATACCTAACAATAAATACCATAAACATAATTTCTCTAACCCACATTTCATCTGAATCATCTTCTTTTTTCACCTTAAAATGGCTTTTATCATAAATGATCACTATGGTACAACAAAATTCATACACCGAGAACCATAAGTTTATAGAAAAAGAGTAATGCTAGAAAGGTCGCATTATTTTTGTATCACATTATTCGGAGATCAGGAAATACCAAAGAGCGATCGCTTTCGCTACATAGGATCTATCTTGCAAAAGAATGGAGAATTAGATGAAGACCTCAACCATAGAATACAAGCTGGATGGATGAAGTGGAATAGTGTATTCGGCGTGTTGTGCGACCACCGTATGCCACAACAACTCAAGGGAAAATTTTATAGGACGACAATAAGGCCAGTGATGCTGTATGGCACAGAATGTTGGGCAGTGAAGCATTAACACGTACATAAAATGGGTATAGCGGAGATGAAGATGCTTCGTTGGATGTGTGGGCACACGAGAAATGATAAGATTAGGAATGAGGATATTCGAGGTAAAGTAGGAGTAGCCGAAATTGAAGGAAAGATGAGAGAAAACCAGTTACAGTGGTTTGGACATGTGCAAAGAAGGCCTACTGACGCTCCGGTTCGAAGATGTGACGACGGGACAGAGGTTCAGGGCCAAAGAAGTAGAGGAAGACCTAGGAAAACTTTGGAAGAGACCCTAAGAAAAGACTTAGAGTACTTGGATCTAACGGAGGACAAGACACAGAAACGAGCGCAATGGCGTTCTAGGATTCATATAGCCGACCCCACTTAGTGGGAAAAGGCTTTGTTGTTGTTGTTGTTGTTGTATTTGTGTACCGTGTGATATGCTTGTTCTACTGCGATATTTTCTTCTTCGTTTGCGTGGATGACCGATTCATGCTATAAAAATTCTTCGCCTTTAGTTTTTATAAATAATACGCATAACCAATATCAAAAGGGATAAACTTATTAATTGACATAACATCTGCACATCACTCACCACACCAAATGATATACCAATAGGGTACAAAAATGTGATTTTTCTAACATTTTTCTAGAGTAAAACACTTCATGAGAGAGTAATTCTACACTCATCATATTTTTCATATTTATACCATATCTCTAATAGAAATGAGACCCACATGTGTTGTAGGCTCTATCTCTATTACAAATGTGGCATAAAAAAATATGATACAAGTAACATTTTTGCTTCATGAGATCAATTGTAAAAAAGAATATTCATTTATTCACTTGCCTTTTTTTTTATTGATTATGAGAAATGTTAGGTAGATCACCCTTAATACATTTATATCATGTTAGTGTATCATCTGATGTGGCAAGTGATGCATATAATCAACATTTAATGAAATAAGGCTGTA